TAAATGATAAAAAAATCATGTCTTCCGAATGTACTATTAAGATTTTATGGAAAAAAAGCTAAAGGTCTTCCGGCCAGACTGATCATCCCAAATGGTACGCTTAAAATGGCCCACAGTGGGGCGCTTTTTCGACGAAACACATTTTTGTGCTTGAAGTGCCCAGAGCGGGGTAGTTAAAATGCCCCATTCATCGTCCATCAAAGTGCCCTGTTTAGCTGGCGAGGCGCTTGTTTTTCGGGAGTGGATAGAACTGTTTATCTACCTTCTCCGTTTCCGTTTTCTGCTTCACTTTCTTTCCTATTCTCTCATTTGTAGTTTTTAAAGTCATGCGAAAACATTTGCATTGCGTTTAAAATGAAAATGCACTTCGTTCTTCTAATAATAGCAAAAATATATTTATTATTGTTATTGATTGACTTACTTTTGCGTCTTTAAATAAATTTTCTTTTTCTCTATTAGACTTTTAACTGTCATTCAAGTATATTCTCAATGTGACATTCATTTCACAAAAAAGGCTTTGCTTCCCAACTATTTACCCTCAAACAAAAACATGGCGGCCAGAACAAAACCGTCGAATGCCAGTACAAAGACGAGTGCTCAAAAAACGAAATCGAATGAAAAGAATAATCGAAATAACGATTCAAAGAATAAATCGAATAACGTCTATCCCTTCGAATTTAGTAATTTCAAACAAAATTTTCATCAACTATTTGACCTCTTAAGAAAAGATGGTGTCGTTTTCGAATGTGATGCTGAAGCACCTTCACGTAAGTGGATGTGAGAATTGTACTTTAGCATTCTTTTGGAGAGCACGAACAAGAAAATAAAAAGAATATCTAGTATTTTTTGAAAACTACTTTGCTAACTAATATGTACTCAACTTTTCCAAAAACGGCAAGTAGTTTTTCAATTATACTTTGACTATCATTTTTCTTTTATCTTTCAGCATCGAAAGATTATGGACAGTTGCAAATTACCACCGATAAGGTAAAACAACTGCTAGTTAGTAAACGAAAGTGTTATTTTATTGTACGATTGTATCTGATGCAGTCCTGCCGTTATGATGTATCGCTACTATACCGTTGGTCGCTCAAATTTTAGCGGAAACTGGCTCTGCTTAGAATCACAGAGTATATAGATAATTCATCTAAACACTTTTGTATTAATTAGCAAAATAGTTTATCTTGTTTAATATTAGGTATTATTACGTTGGTGGAAAATAACGTTGCGCAATATTGAAGGTAAGATCGGCTCAGTTGTCTAAACTGGTTATTGTCACTATTTTTCGACCTCAAAGGTACAATATATCCTGGCGAAATAAAAGATTCTTACGAAGATTTTTATCATGATGAAATTGCGCAACTAGAAATACAGCGTATATTTGGTCAAATAACATTAGATTATTGTTTAAATCTCGTCCGTGGACATATCGATTGGCTCAATAGATTACCGGAAAAATTACAGGTTCATATTTTATCTTTTGTTAATCTTGAAGATGTACCACAAATTTCACTTGTATCAAAGTCATTTCGTACATTGTGTCGTAATAATGATTTATGGAAATCATTTTATATTCGTTACTATGATCGACAGAACATCTCGCGTGAATTGATCAATTTAGCCGAGAAACGAGGTTGGAGACATGTCTTCTTTACAAATCGTCTTAAATTACAGATGCAATTGAGACGAGAATCACAACGTTTACCGGTGGCTATTCAAGATGATACAACACATTTAGAACGTCAGCGAACATCAACAAAACATCGTAAAGATTTAGCGAGTAGTTTGATGAAAATAAATGAATATGACACACGTTTCACGAGTACGCGTCATTATGTAAATCCTTCAATTCGACGTCATTCATTCAGTATAAAAACAATAACAAATATTTCTGAAAATGATAGTTTTGAAGGTGAAGAAATATCGCCAAGATCAATACGATCTTCTTATGTTGCTGGTGGAGGTGGTGATTATTATCGAATGTCACCGCTGAGAAATCGGACACCATCGCCTACTCTCTCAACACGATCGATGGCTGGAAGTGTTGCATCGAAAGGATCTCAATTGGAGCCTGTGCATCCATATCATGAGCGAAAAAAACGCTAGATGAGATACAGTTTTATTTTGCACATAAAGTACTGTTTCTTCCTTTCTGATATTATTTATTGCTCAAATGTGTCGAATCGTACCGTAGATAAAACTTTTAGTATTTTCTTTGCTCTCTTTATTCACTTGTAAATACATAAATAAATATTTATACGACTGCAAATTGTTTTCTTTGTTTACATCTGATCTCAGTAGATGTTCGGTTGTGAAGTTTCGCCCTAAACAAATATTCAGCGTAGTGGCGGCGCCAGGCCAGGGCTAGGGTGGACTGAGCCCAACCACCCCAAAATTTGAAAACAGAGTACTCACTAGCAATAGTCACGTAAAAATTCTGAACGGATTTTTGAAAAATTATGGGCTGAGCCCCCGAAAAATCCTGGCGCCATCACTAATTCAGCGAGAAATATGCTTTAATGATATTACGATAAATTATAGAACGACCACAGAATTTTTTTAGGCTATAACGGTTCTTGTTGAGTTTTCGGCTTGAAAGTTATATGAACATCCAAATATATTAATAAGTCATGTGACTGCAATGGCAGCCCGTGTACTAAAAATCGGCAATTAATCGTGAAAAATTATCCGATTAATCGTGCGCTTTATTCCCGGTTTTTTGGTAATTTTCAGGTGATTCTAGCGATTAATTGCCGGTTTTTTTTCTAGGTATTAGATTCGAAACCATCTTAGGTATACATATTTTTTTATTTTTTCATTGTTTATTATGTTTAATGACATATACGTCATCCAGCAACAGTCTTAGCACCCGCTGAAGTCGGAGCCTTTCCAATGAGTCGATTTTAGACATTGCTCAGACACCAGCTGTTCACTGGACTCCTCGGCTTAAAGCTCTGAGGGACCATAGAGAAGACTCTTGACAGCTCCGTTTTATACTAAAATAAAAAGATGATCTAAATAGAAGTGTATTTCTGGTTGAAATCGTGTTTCTTATATACATACTTTACTGCAAAATAAAACGGTAAATAACAATAATCAATTAATTGACGATTTTTAAAAAGAAGAAAAATCATCGGAGGGGAACACCTTATGATTGTACACTTTCCAAAAAATTTTGACGAAGTCATTTATCATCGTTTCAGGGTTGTCGCTCAATTAGGAGTCAAACTGGGCTGTTCGTAACTGCAAGATGTCTCGATAACGAAGCGTTGTGGAGAGTTCGTAAGGGTCTCAAAATCACGAAAACACGCGTGGCTAGAGGCTAATAGTGTCTGATTTTTGATATTTTACTTTTCAAAATAACAGTCAGCGTCAAAAGCAAAATTCCAAAAAAGCTTCATTAACTTACATAAAGATGTTTTTCTAACCACAAATCTAGACTGAATATCAAATATCCGGCTCTATTAGCCTCTAGTCAAGTGTGCTGACTTCATTTTAAGACTAATCTGAGCTCTTTGCGTCGCTCCGTTACGGAAAAATCCTGCAGTTACGCAGTCGTGTGAATGCGAAGTTCGCTTTTGACATAAAGTAGCGCTGTCGTACGGTGCATATTTTAGGGCTTCTATTTAAAATTCTTGCAACTTCTCGTTGAAATATTGCCTGGAGTTGGGAGACATTTCATTTTGATCAAAAATGTTCGCTTTATAACTAGTTGCTTTAGAGCTACGTTTTCTCTTTTCTTTTATTAATAACACATACTTAATGGAAAAAGCGGTTTTTCAGTGTGTTCGGGAAACAACCACAAAAGCTTGCAGAAACCTTCGATGAAGGTCTTACTGTCATGGATTCTGATAGCAAACATCTTGGGCTAACTAATAATGTGTCTAGCTGAATATTGACTTTTGTACAAAAATTTCGTATTTCTGAAAGGGAAAATCTTCGTAGCAATCGAAGAGAGCTTCTCATATAGGAGTATGTATAAAATTACAAAGAACATAGTAGGTGATAGATGTGAGTAAAATCGAACTAAAACCTGTCTAAAAATTCAATTTATGAAACTAAATCATTAAACTATCCGCTGATGCTTGAGATGTTTTAGTAAAAGTTATTTTTTTTCGTTGTTTTCTCTCCATTAGAGGTGAATCATTGTTCGATGAAGCTGATTTTAAATGTTCTCGTTTTGCGTGTTTACGATGATGTCGATTTGAAGTTGGGACCAATTGTGATTGTTGTGGGTCTTGTTGTTTACGTTCTCGTTGTTCTTTTCGTATTTGTTCTTGTCTCACTATTTGTTGTATCTCAAAAATAGCTGAGATATACATATTTATTTTGGACAAATATTTATATATAAGAACATGACATGCTAATAATAACGATGTTAACAAATAACCGACTACACTATAAATTATAAAATAAAAATTTCTGCCAATTTCACATTCATACGATGGAATTAGTATGTTTTTAATTGGAAAAAAGTTATTCTCATTCAAAAATAATAGTATTGATGAATTTACTACACATACAATAAATATGATGTTGGTCAAGATGAAAAGTGAAAGCGAGAAAACAATACATATGAAACCAAATGAATTTAACTTTGTGTAATTTGAACGACCAGTTGTATTAAGAATAAACACTAACAATACAGATATATGTATAAAAAGGATTGCAATAATAAACAAGTATAAAGTTGTTTTAATAATATCATTTTTTTCTGTTGATAATTGACATTCTATTTGATGATTAGGCGTTATATAACAGTTCACATTATCATTTCGAATGCCAAATTGAATAACTATGGTCAAATCTCGTTTGTCATTTTGAAACACTGTATGTTTACATTGGCAATGATTTGAAGTTCCCAAACCAATTAAAAAGAGAACGGTTGATAAACAAAATATAAATAAATAAATGAATGAAAACCAGTTAATGAAATGACATTTTAAATGAACATTCAGTAACATACTTTTCGTGCAACAGACTACCAAGCTATATCATGCTTTTGGACCGTTTTAATTTTGTCAAAATAACTTCAATTATATTCTTTTATAGACGACAGAAAATGAATAATGATATTTATGGATACGCACCGAAGAAAAAACGAACAGATATGTAGAGCATTAGATAAGTAACCATAGGTAAGAAGAGATTAATCAATGATAAAAACGGATTGATTATGATAAATGAAGTATAATAAAGGATTATATTTTCATTACTTATTCACCACCTGAAGATTACTGAAGAGATTAAACAAATAACTGAATGAACCAAATTCAAGCCCAAGGGAATTTAATAGTAGTTTATAATCTTTTTATTGACTAACGCAAAAATAATAATCGTGACCGAAAAAGGTAAAGCTTTTTTTTATAGCTGAATTAAGATATGAGTGATTTATCGAGATATAACAAAAAAACACGTCTTAAAACTAAACTTATAGATCAATGTGTATATCTCACTAAATTTTCATATAAACGCAATAAAACTTGTTAAAAGAGAGAGATGTGAGAGAGCCAATATAAATGGTTTTCTACTTTAGAATATATTCGTCCGATCACCGGAATTATGGCAGTCAAAAATCAGATTCATTTTGTGTAATATACTTTATAGCTCAATTTGTTGCTGAAGTCTAGTGAATTATACTTTAATTGAACAGCATTTCAAGTAGAGATGGGCGAGTATACGGATTTCTGAGTAGGAGTACGAGTATTTTCTGAGAAGTACTCGACTAGTACTCGAGTATTATTTTTTTCTGAAGAAGCCAGTAAATCCAACAAAATTTCCAAATAAATCGATTTTTTGATGCGCAAATAGTAAAAATAAGGTCACCAGTTTTTTGGGAAGTACTCGAGTGTTTTTTGGAATACTCGTTAAAAAAAGTCCCGAGTACGAGTACTAGGAATTTTGTATTCCAGTACGATTTCAAGCTATCCTCAATAAAGAATAAAATCAGAAATTGTAACACAATGTTTGTTAGATGGCAAAACGCAAATCTAAAATATGTATAATTTGAGTTTTTCTTTTTTTCCGTCTAAATCTTGTAACGTACATTTAAGATTACTTTTCAGCAAACATTTTTATAATTCTCGACCAAACAACAAAACAAAAATCAGACGTAGTTTTTCTTATCTAAAAAGCGAAGTTCAAGAAAGTCAACTAAGATATGTAATTTACATAGATATACAAATAGAGAAGATAAAATGACATCTGTTTTTAAAAAAATACAGAATTATCGTTTTACTGTTTCATCAATAATATTCAATAATTTTTGTGCCACTTCTGTTTCTGGCACTTCTCCTTCATATACATCGCCAAATACAGCTATTCTCAATAAACTCAAGGCTTCATAATAGTCATCTGGTATATCGACCATGTACACTTCAAATGTAATTAAAAATAATAACAATGCTTGACGTAATATACCTTGACCAGTGGCTAATTCACATAATGGTTTACGACCATAAAACAGAAAATATGACGATGTTCCATTAACAAAATCCATAACTGTTAAACGTAAATACGAACCGTCATCTGGTTCAGATTTAACAGCATCACTCTGAAAAAGTAAGATGACATATTAATCGAAACATTAACAACAACAAAACTACAGTATAAAAACGTAATTATATCGTATGCTCTGCTTCATAAAGGATTGATATTTATTACTTTTCACAATTAAGATACAAAAGAGATTTTCAAAGCGTACTAGAGACTTCCAGTAAATGTTTTCGGCTAGTTGCAATTTGCTACAATATTTGAAGAATATAGAAAAAAGATTGAAAGAAATGAGCAACTGTGTTTAATACAAGTTAGCAGTGAAAATTAAGATTATTTCGATAGAATGCAGTATAATTAATGGTTACCTGTTTATTCTGTATTATATAATTACAATTCAACGCTTGACATAATTGCATAAGTGTAAGACGATATGTAATATCCATATTTTCACGTAATCGAATACTGAAATAACTTGTTAAAACATCGAGTACTTGACCAATGACTTTATTGAACGATGATATATGTCTTCCACGCAATAAACCATATTCACCCGTTAACTAAAATAAAGAAATCGATACTAAGGCCATGACGGATATTAAGAGAAACATACAAATTCTTTTCCAGCCATAAATGGTAATTCTTGTAATATTCCATATAAATTTAAATCAGCATTCAAACTAAGCCATTCACGACGTCGTGTATGTGTTTTAGACAAATATTGTTTATATAACGTCGAAAATTGAGGTTGACCTTGTATTTGACGTAATTTAATATTGATACTTTCATAATAGGCATCATCTACAACAAGAATAAGAGATAATTGTGCTGAGTAGAAAACAAGAAGAAGGAGTTCGTACCATTTTGATGAATACGATTTTCATTTTTATCCGAATGGCCCCCGTGCATACGTTCTAAAGAACGAATTTTTTGTCGCATATTACGCATTTTAATTGATAATTTTCGACACAATAATGCCTAAACAATGATATAAATGAATTCTCATGAAATATAATAGAATAAACATGATGTTTACTTCCGGTTTAAACTGATTTCCTTTTTCCGCAAGACATGGATGTTTTTTAATTAGTGCTAAACCAATTTTACGATATTCTCGACCAGTTTTCAATTGAGGATATGTTTTCATAAAAAAATCAGCCGCTTCAGATATTAAATCAGGTAAAATCGGAGCAGCATTACCTTGACAAAAGAAAAGATGTCAAAACATGTTAATCAATAAAGACTTCTTTTCTCACCCATATCAAGGTAACGTTGAACTTTTTCAGAGAATTCTGGTAATTCAGGAGGCATTGGAATTGCGGGATAACAACGTGTACGATTTGAAGTTCGAGTACCTGATGGCAGATCATCTTGCATTGAATCTGGATTATATAATGTACCACGCTAAAAGGTGTAAATGCGAGGATATTTTTTATTGTGCAAGCTGATAAATGTTTTCTTAACAAGGATGTCAAAGCATTAACTAGTAGACTCAACATATTTCACTATGTCGAACCATCATTGATTTAACAGTATACATGGATAAAATAGTATTTTTACATACTCTTTCCGATGTAGGACTCCAATCTTCATCATCATGTCGATTCTAAATTAGAGTTATTGTTCACATCAAGAAACAAACTATATAAGAATATACGTACATCTTGAAATTCTTCTTTGATGGCGTTGATATGATCATTTGATGCTACACTGTTATCATCAGGTATTTCCGGTTCGTTTTTCGTCTCCATGCGTGTTGATGTTAAAAGTCCACGTGATGACGATGAATTTCTTCCGCTGCCGCCAGACACCAATAATTTTGAATTTTCAAGGCGTGGTCGTTTAAAAAATGAACGTTGACTGCTGCTTGCAGTTTGGAGTGAACCTCTTTCACTTAAAGTTTCATCTTCATTTGGTGATGCTTCATCAATATCATCATTGGACATCGATGGTACGGTTGTCGATGACGATGGCTGCGATAATTGATTTGATAACGTTGGTTTTGATGAATAATGTTGTTTGCGCATATGTGTTTTAAAGCGACCAACAGACGTAAATATTTGAGTGCATAACGGACATGTTACTTCTACTTCTTCGTCACGATGTCGTATGTCCAAATGCTCAACATAAGCTTGTAAATTTCGAGGATAAATGCTGCAGATAGAACAATGCAGCAAACGTTGCGTACTTAGTTCGTCACCACGAGATGCCATGATTTATCTAAAGTGAAAAAGAAACAACATTATCGCATAGTTAGGAAGAAGTTGATGAATATCAAAAAGTATATTCTAAGCAAGTACAGGCAAGTATTCTTTCCAATAAAAGATTATTGTTCTCATCTTTGGAAAATTGAATTTTGGTCCAAAGCCCAAATAATTTAATTATAAGCAGTTGAAGTTTGTATTGTTGAAGTCGAGATTTTCTGAAACTAGTATTTTGACATTTCTCGACAAACTTCCTCTGCTCTGATTTTTCTTTGTTTATAAAATTAAAGCATCTACGCGTCTGCATTCAGTGCATTTAAACAAAATGGTCAGACAGACATTTTTAGCTATAGTGAAATTTAGCTTCAACCTCCCTGTTAAAATTATGCATTAAGCAGAGTTATTGTCAAATGCAAGCTTTATGAAGAAAAGATAGTAATTTAAGGTTAAAAACTAATTTTATCGACTGGGTTTACTCGGAAAGATAATGTCTCAGTAATGCACTTAGCGTTATTTCTTATTTGCCGCTTTCTTGTCCAATGTAATTATCTCTAATAAAGCGTACGGTCAAGAACTAGTTTCATCACGCAAAAAAATTGATTCTATAAATTACATCAGTATGTACTGATGGTGGAGTTTTGCCTTTAACGTGTCTCAACTAGAGCCCGCAGATGGGTTGGATTATTGTTTATTTATCAAATTCGTTTTGTTGCTCAAAGTAAATCAGACTTAGGTAAGAGTTTACAGGACAGAACTGTTCTCGCTCCAGTTCTCTTTAGATATTATTTATGGATGTTTCAAATGACGGTAGTACGCATCAAAATTAGATATGCTTCTTTCTCTCATTTTTGGATGGATTGTTCACGAGTAAAGAGTTATGTTTCAAACGGATTAACTGTTGATCGGACTGAATTGAGTGCGAAAGAAGAATGTTGTCAGAACCACTGAAAAGAAAATAATGAGAATCCTATGAGCTTTATGAATACATATCAGGTTAAATTCTCCCTATATTGTGACAGATTTACTTGAATTTATTTTCTAAACGTTTGTGATGGTGTTTTAAACATTTGTAATGGTTGTACATGAATAAGTTGTCAAAACCAAAGATGTTTCATATATTATTTGATTCCTTGAGCTCTTTGTTTCTCACTGTTTTTTCTGTGTATTGTATGTTACGTTCTAAACATTGCGAGATCGCTGTTGAAAACCGATTGCTGCAATCAAACAAACGAAAGAAGAGTTTTTGTTCTACTGCTTAAGATAGAAATTTCAAGACTGATAATTCCAAGATACTTTGTGGTAAGCTATGATCTAAAATAAATACGATATAATCTTGGTTTTCCAAGAGAGCGGGTGTTCAGGAATGTCCAAACACAGTCCTGGTCCGAGTGTTTGAAGAAAGACTTTGAGTACGAAGAACTAACTAGATTGAGGTTCTTGGTCACATGAGAGTATATCTTCTCACAGTCGTTTTCAATAGACATGTTTGAGTTTCATGGACTGAAAATGAAAAATACATTTCTCATTCAGCCCTGCAACAATAGAAAACAACTACGGTTATGAAAGCAATACTAGGCAGGCTGCAGTACCGCCATCACCTGTAAAGCACTTCGGGTTAGCCTTGAAAACTATGTGAGTCTTGTAAGTAAAGGCATCATTAACAAGTAGATCTCAGAACTTGTCAGATTTAGTCAAAGTCTTGTCCTCTGTTTTCTTCAAACTGCAGAGCATGGTAACGTTAAAATTGTCGACAACAAAATAAGCAAGCTTATAACGGTTCTTTTCGTCATGCAAAGATTTTTCTTCTCAGGAGAGGATGAGAATGATGTTTTTTGTCTTAAACATGTTCTAGATTTTCAAAAATCAATGTCCGAAAATGAGATAAAACAGCCAGTGGATACCGTCGATTCATCCGCCAACTCTGATAGTCTTAAACATGAAGGAGATAACGACGTACAGGAGAAAAACGAGAAACCAATATCAAAAAATCAGTTACGTCGCCTACGTCGACGTCAACTCATATTAGAGAAGCGTAAAGAAAAACGTGAAGTCGAACGTGAGAAATTAAAGCAGCGTAAACGTGAGAAACGTAAACGTGAACAACAGCAACCAGATGAAGTAGTACTTCCTCCTAATCGTAAAAAATTGCGTTCAAATCTTATGTCAAAGTCTACCTGCAAAATTCGTTTGGCTATCGATTGTCAATTTGATAATTTAATGAGTGAACGTGACATATCAAGTCTTCATAAACAAATATCATATTGTTATGCAGCCAATAGAAGACAATCTCAACCGTGTCAGTTTTATTTAACTAACGTTAATGGACAATTAGAAGAAAAATTACGTTCAAATAGTGCTCATAATTGGGATTTAAATATTGAAACAAAGACATTAGATGAATTATTTCCACATGATGAAATAGTTTATTTGACAAGTGAATCGGATAATGTGATGACTAATGAACAACTAAATTCATCTTATGTCTATGTAATCGGTGGTCTGGTCGATCATAATTCACGAAAAGGACTATGTTATCAAATAGCTAATGATAAAAAATGGAAACATGTACGTTTACCCATCGATGAATATTTAAAAATGAATACGAGAAAAGTGTTAACATGTAATCATGTATTTGAAATATTATTAAATTATATTGAAATGAAAAATTGGAAACAAGCATTACAGAAGTTTATACCAAAACGAAAACAAGTTTTAAACGAAACAACAGAAAATAAACAAGAAAATGAGTTAGATCAGGCTTCAGTATCACAAACACTAGTTTTGGATAAAAATGGTCTTATAGAACGAGTAGATGATTGTGCAGGAATTCACAAAAGAAGATTAGAAACAGATGAACCACAAACTACAAATAACGTTTAAGTTAGCGATTAAAAGTTAACAAATGACCGTTTATTGATAGAACGGTTCTTTCAATACTATGCAGAATATGAATTCTTTGTTCGTTAGTTTTCATAGAAATAAAATTGTGCTGGATAGCTGTCATGGTGACAGTTTTGAAATTAAAAGTTCAAAATGAGTTCTATATAAGAGATTGTCATTCTGCGTAAAAATAACCATATTATTCGTATCCATTTTTTTGTCGTGTAAATAAAAATATTGCTTTTGATGTATTGACGTCACGTATACACAATAAGTAGGTGCTTTTACTCGAAAATCGTGATTTAATTTGATTTCAGCTTATTCTGTTACACCAGTGGGAAAACTAATCTGTCGTCTTCTTGTAAACAGCTGCTTTTCTATCTACGATGACAGTGAACGAGTGTCATCTTAAATCATTAAAATTCGCGATCGGCAAAAGCAAATCCAAAATGTAGACATTGAAGAAGAACAACAAGAAAACCGACATCAACATAGTTATAAACTGGATTTTTCAAAAGAAAATAATGATAAAGATGTCTGATAGAATCGAGCGTCATTAACTCTCGATCTCTCATTGAAAAAACATTACCAACTTCGATTGGAGATCTATTCTGTTGAGTTGTTTTAAATGTAAACGCAGTATAGTCTCACGGTTGTTCAAGTTTTATTTCTTCGACTTGTGTTCCGGTTTCAAAACAGCAGAAGCCTCTTTCAAGACTATCCATATGAAAAACCGTTCTATAAGAAAAAAGTACTGAATGGGGAAGAATAGATTTTCGAAACTAGAGGTTTCCAGTATGAGGCGATAAACTTTAAAAGAATTCGAAGAGCGGGGGTGTAGTCTTATTTTGTAGAGGACATTGGACCATGTTCAGTTGATTTTTAACTCAATTTGTTTGTATTGAATGAAATTTTGTTCTACAACCACTTTTTCAGTTACAAACAACCCAAGCCTTGGATACTTGAACTGGCCCTTACTACGTCCACAGTCCTCGAGGCTGCCTTTCTTTAACTTTTCTCTCAACATAGTTGAGAATATATATGTCAGATGTCACCAAAATAATTCGGTGATTCGATCTTCAGAAGAGGCCCGCATCCTCTTACTTATCGTCATTCCGTCCTACAAAAAAATATTTTATCGACACTGGTTGTGTACCGGTGCCGAATAATTCTTTTTCTGGGCACCGATGCGCACCAGTGCCGATGTTTTGTTTTGTCAATTTCTGTCTATATTAACGCTACAGTCTACTTCTAATATTTCGAATGTCTTTCTGACTTCATCTTTTCCTTCTCATAAGAGAAGTGCCGAGGCAATGTTGCATAGTTTTTGCCATGTCGATGTGGTACTGATCAGTGCCGCACTCTAATACAAAATTCAGCGTAAACAACCATAATAAAGAACTAATTAAATTGATTAAATAAATTATCACTGCGGCACCGATCTTTGCCAATGCGGCACTCTTTCGACAGAAATATATCGGCACTCGTATCATTAATACTATATAGTCGAAGTTTTTGTCCGCAAGATATAATGAGTATTAAATGACCTTTTCTCACTTTTATACACCAGTATCTTCAAATAACTCTAAAACGTGCGGTATTCTACTACTGTTTGAAAACACACTCTTTATGACTCAAGGGGATTAACACGCTTGTTCATAGCGAGGTCGATAACTTTTAGGTCTAATTCTTTCATTTATTTCGAAGATCATTGAGCTGATCGGTTGCTAAAAACAAAAACGAATGATATATCCAAGAATCAAAACGTTAATTGAATTACCTTATATTTCAGTACGAACAGGTCCATAATGCCCTTCTATGTATGCATATTGAGCAAAAAAACATTAAAAGAAATAATAGATGTATGTACATGAATATAATTCAGTTTTCAATATACATTAGTCACCCCACTTATCCTTCACCAAAATGAAATTAATAACCATGTTACTATATAACATATCAACTGTGTACACTGTAAAGTCGGGAATTATTTATAGAAAATGCTCGACAATTCTCAAAAAGCCCATATATGAAATCCTCACGGATTTTCCAAATTATAGAAAGTCGAATTCCAATAATGTAGAAAATCGATGTCGATTTTCTACATTGTTGGGAATTATTCATAGAAAATCCTCAGGGATTTTATATATGGACTTTTCGAAAATCAAAAAGTCGGATTATTTTCTACTTTCTAGAAAATCAATGAGGATTTTCTAGATGATAAGGAAGAACAATTTGAGTGAGAATGTTGATGATAATCACAGACTTGCATTTGTGATCTCTTAGTGTCATACAACAATAGTACTTCTCGACAAATATGCTGATTTGCAAAAACTGAGAGAACTTTCCGAATCTACTAACATTTCCGATGTTAAATACCAGAACACGCAGAGATTTGTTACAGGCAGGGCCGCAAATAGGAGCCGAACATTAGGGGAGTGTAAACCAAAATTTCTCTCTGAGGTAGTGTGAAATTGATAAAAAAAATGCGAATCTTTTAAAACAGTCATAGTACGGAACAAAAAAATTCCAATTATTCGGGGGATGCGCAGAAGGGGGAAATTAGAAAATCGAAAAAAAAAAAGTCGCTGTTGATTTTCCAACTTTTTAGAAATTCCTTATCGATTTTCTGGCAAATGAGAAATTTATAGAAAATCCGTTCGATCTTGCTGATTTTTGATGAAAGTCAGTATTATTTCTTTCATTTTTAGGTGAATAATTCGAAGAAGTATTTTTTTCATTTGTTGCTTCTGAAAAAGTAGTTGATCATGGAGAGGACTGTTCGAGATTAGCAACAACAACGGTCTTTTCTGGCGTTTTCAGACGTGCTAACTGACGAGTTACTAAACTAGTTAATTCTCGTGAACTTTCATCGTCTCGATCGCAATCAGCATTAAAAGAAAAGCAGCCTACAGGTATTGTTCTTTAAATTTCTCCTTTACGGCGGTAGAGCAGCTGAATTTCAGCTTTTTTAAGTACCTCTCCCAAAGACATACTATCTGGATGACCTTTCATTGAAGGAAGAAGTTCAGGTCTCAATTTTCTGAGAAAATGTTTCTTCAGCAGTTTTTCCCGCGTTCTAGGACTGATTTCAAGATTTAACCGTAGATATCTTTGATAAAAGTCTGCAGCCGTTTCATTTTGTCTCTGAACACATCGACTTCGTTCAAGTTTCAAAGCTTCGATACGATACGTTCAGGACTACGAAAACGAGACAACAACAACTTTTTGAACTTGGACCAAGTGTCCGACAACCGATGTGATTGTGGAAGCTGTAGATACCAGTCACGAGCTAGACCTGTCAGCCAATCACAAATATTTCGAAGTAATTGTGAATCTAAAGCACGAAAAAGAGTCCGCATCGTTTGTTGATATTCGTGCAAAAACTTATTCGGCTGTTTATTCGCTTCGCCACTAAAGCGACTAATTGAGTCATTCACAGTGACCTGTAAAGTTGCTGTTTGCTCAGTCACAGTCAATCGAAACGAAGAACTAGAAAATTTTCTTTCGATTTTCGATTTTCTTTTCTTTCGAGATTCTGATGTCATCTCGTTGCCACTAAAATTAGGATTGTCATCACTATCATCAGAAGAAGAAATTTGTTTTCGATTAGGCGTCTTCTTTTTTCGATTTTTCTTTTTCCTTTCAGGCTTTGAAGCTGCAATTTTATCTGAACTTCCTGTATCATTAACACTAAAGGAGTTATCAGAAGATGGTGATGATGATGGTTGAAGCTTTTTGTTTGCGACTTTTCACAACTTTTGGCTTAAACTTTGATTTTGATTTAATACCTTCTTCGGCACTATCAGAAGAACTCAATTTACGATAAGAGGTAGATCGAACTCTTCGTTTTCGAGATGGCATTGAAATCTTTCGTTTTGGTTCAGAAAGATGATCTAATTCTTTACCCGAAATTTTAGCGGATGTAGTCAACGGCAAAGCTTCAGTTTATATACTAGAATCACTTTTAGCAATAGAAAGTGGATAAATTTTAGATCGATAACATGAAGCACATTCATGTAATAGCTTCGATTTTTCTCCTTTATCCTCACCATCTAGTGGTAGTGATCTTGCATGCTGAGAAATATCAGAATTTGAAGAATTAAAAAGATTTACAGGCAAAGAGACAACTGATGTACGTAGATTAGCAGCAGCTGCAACAGCAGTAACAGGTACATCCGCTAAAACTGGTGTCAATGTTTGAACCGGTGTTAACTGTATTTGAGATGCATTTTGTTGCTGATTAAAAGAGCGAAGCAATGCATCAGCCTGTATTTTCTGTGCATCTCTCATCATAGACATGGTCTCTTTCTGTGAATCTTTTATCGTGGACATGGCTGCAATCATTAGTTTATTCATAGACTCCAGCATGTCATTTGAAACAAGAGAAATGCGACCAGCAGCTTTCGAAGTAGTGGACCTAATTGATCGACATCGAGATGAAACAGAGGCTACTGAAGGCGCTGGTGGAAGTTTCGGCTTCACAGACGCTACAGATTTATCGCATTCTAATTAATCAAGGAAAGGTAATCTCAACTTCTTAAACATATGGTTGGAAAGTATACAAAATCCTCTATAATATGACCTAGTTCTTAATTAGAAAACTATGACCCTAGAACATCATCGAAAAAATACATATGTCATGACAAGGAATCGAACCTTGTGTGCTCTCATGACATGCTAGACGCTAAAACCACACAGCAATGAGACAAATCTGTCATATGCATCCTTTCTAGTCTAGGCTTTTGTAAAACTCCTCCTGTCTTACAAAGTAGAGAGTTTCAGTTTATACTCAAAAACCAGGCGAATACTAGTTATTTTAGACCCCTTTGTGGTGCTAATTAGGCTCTACTAACAGCTTCACAAAATAACACCCAATTCTACTCTACCAGCAGCAACAATTATTATTAGTTTAATGATAAACTTTACAAAAAACTGTTTGTACAATATTGAATTACAATGTTCAATTAATCAATAAATAAAATAGATAAAATTCTTCTTTGCTGTTTTGAGAAGAAGGTGGTGGAAATCGTGATGCTGATGTAAAGAAGGAGAAATGAAAATAAGTATTGCAAACGCAAATACTAAATTATAGAAATATTAAATATAAATTAAATATAAAATTTAATTTATATTAATTACTAAAATATAATAGTAAAGCTTTTCCTTCCCGGTATATGAGAGAAGAAGAAGAAGTGGTTTGAATTCAAAGATTAATCAGAAAAAATCTCTCTCTATAAATGTGAGAGAGAGAGAAGAAGAAGGGGATAAGAGATGTTACTTTGAAGTTGAAAAGTGACAAGAATGATAAAAGAGTCGAAATTTACTTTCAATTATGACTTGTTTTTCGTTTTGTTCCCCGGAAACGACTTGTATTAAATTAATACATAATAAATAATTTCTTTCTTCTATTATCTCTCTCACTAAAACCCGCGAAACTACGAAGTTTTAAGAATTTCTAGAAACT